ACACACTGAAGAAATTAAATAAATTGCTTAAGTCATTTGTTATAGTTAAAAAATATTTGATAAGAAATTTAAGATATCATATGCATTAAAATATAGCTACATGTTTCGGAAAGAAGTTTTCCTTCCTAAACCATTTTAACCTTTGCGGTGTTTTTAATTTTATGATAAACTGGATAGAATTAAATTTTGCTGAACGAAAATAATGTGCAGGATAATAAAATACGAAAATAAAAAAATTCGTCATAAAAGATGGGCAAAATTTATGTAGTTATTGCATGTTATGGGAAAAAGAGCCAAAAAGAGCTTGGCCACCGCGCTCGCCAGATCTTTCATGTCTCGATTTCCTTCTGTGGGCGCAGATGAAGGATCATATGTGTAAGACTCCCATTGAATCTACAGAAGAACTTGTCTCCAAGCTTTCGGTCGTTGCAGGGGAAGTTCGCGATATGCCTGGTGTGTTTCAGAATATTTGCCAATCTTTTTTTCGCCGTTCTACTGCGTGCTTAGCCTCTGCCTGTCACTGTTTTGAATGCTTATTGTAATCACATGCCATTAAATTTGCTTTTATAACTTAACATCATTGTTCTTTGTGTGTTTTTGGCTCATATAAAAACATAACTTTGACTCCCTCTAACGGTTTTTGGGTTTTGTTTTCGACCATACATTCTTTCATAAAAATTGTTTGGTTGGGTGCGTACTATCGCTTGCTAAAATTTTGTCCATATTTTATGAATCACCCTGTATATAAAACATAATATAAAATTATGTGGAAAATAGGTAATTCATGTTTCTTTCTCTTTTCCATTTTATAATTTTTTTTAAACAAATATTTATTTTCTAAAATTATTTATTGTCAACTTCTTTAAATTATCCAGTATAATATTACCTTGCACACATCCATTTTCGGGCCCATCCTTGGTGACTAACAAATCAAACGAAATTCAGTAATGCAGCAAGAACGCACTTTAATACAAAACTCCCCTGGTTACGCTTTTAGCACAGTTTACGCTTTTGTTTTCATTTTTTGCAATCTCGCACTCTTGTTACGAAAATGTTTTAAATCGTTCTTGAAAAATTTTCCATTCATGTAAGTTCATTTGAATTCGCCACTCGCTTTATAGATTTCATTTCCTGTTTTATTCTGTTTTTTCTTTATATTTTATTTTCTGCTTTTACGTGATATTTTTACTNCAGAATGAGAACATCTGTATAAAGAATTTGGACAAATTTGCTTACCTGAGGATTTCCTGAGTTATAGGTATTGGTATTTGAATTATAAGAAGAGGATGATTCCAAACTTAAGATAGAGGTAGTAGATTCAATTCTCATTTTAAGTTTGGATGTAACTTAATCGTCTCTTTGATTTGATCGTTTGAAATGAGTACTATCTTTTAATAAGGTAAGATTATCTGTTACTTTCATTGAACTCCCAAGGCTGTATATTTATGTAAAAATTAAAAAATCAAATATTAAGTCTATCTGCCAATCCTCGCTAATTTGAAAGACATGTTGCAGATAAGTCTACAGATTAGGATCCAGCAAGGTATAAAAGAGAAGCCACAGATTCACGTGACGAGTTTGATGAGGAGCCAAAACAGAAATCTCAAAACGAATTAAGGACTGGGAAACAGTACAAAGCCCCCCAGTATAATAATGAAGCTGATAAATTAAATCTACATTTCACCATTAAGAAGTTTGGACCTTAAAATAAAAATGAATTACAACTCTTATCTCAACATTTAAAAATACATATTTTTTTTTCTTTTTCAGTTCACTCCCTTTTCTATAATTCTGTTCCAATATAATTCTGTTCATTGCGCTTTTAGCACAGTTTACGCTTTTGTTTTCATTTTTTGCAATCTCGCACTCTTGTTACGAAAATGTTTTAAATCATTCTTGAAAAATTATCCATTCATGTAAGTTCATTTGAATTCGCCACTCGCTTTATAAATTTCATTTCCTGTTTTATTCTGTTTTTTCCTTATATTTTATTTTCTGCTTTTACGTGATATTTTTACTTATTGTGTTCGATTTTATTTGTTGTAATTTTTCTGTAAAATTTTTTGAGTGCTTCTCGCACTATTGTATTGATATAATTTGCTTTGGCTATATTGATGCAATATAGCCAAAGCACTCTTTTCTGCGGATATAATCGTGTGAGCTGATGAAAAGATTATATCTTTTATTTTCCGGATTTTTAAAATTTTTTGTTCTTTTTTTCCGGTTTTTTATTATTTTTATTTTTATCATTATTTTTTCCCCTTTTTTCATTTTTCTGTAATTTTTCCCTTGTTCTCTCCACACACACACACGCACGCACGCACGCACGCACGCACGCACGCACGCACGCACGCACACACACACACAGACACACACACACACACACACACACACACACATGGATAAAAATGCACTAAAAGCTTATCGAATTTAATAACAGATTTCTAACTGTATATTTGGAGAGCATTCCTTAGATAATTCAATCGGCTGAATGTTTAATAATTTGAATCCATTCTTACACCGTATAGAGTAATTTATATTGTTTACTTAAAGTATTTGGAATCTATAACTTAATTTCAAATCAAATAATTTTCTATAAATTAGCTTCCGATTCCCATGCAAAATCATCTTTCACTCGTGAGTCAATATTATTTCCATTTTGCTAACATACTACTATAACTATTACTAATGTACTACATACATTACTAATCTAATGTATCCAAGTATCTTTAACACTTGTTTGCTGACTGAGTTAAAATATTCTATTGCTTGGAATCATAGCGCATAATCACGAAGATGGGCTTAATAAGAGTAAATTTCTGTACCTTGTATACTTGTAAAAATTTCTAGTAATGGATGAATTTCACTTGTAGAGAAAATTGTACAAATTGAAAAAGAGATAGTAAAAATTACGTAGAATAGCACCGTAAAATAATTCCAATGTCTCTCCCTTTTTTTAAAGAGAAGAAAAATGCTTTTTATGGAAATATTAAAGATGGTTATTCTTGTTTTTGTAATTAACAATTTGGCTAAATTTTGAAAACTTGTAACTGTGTATTGCACTCGTGAAAAATTTAATATTCCTGATTCTTTCACAATTTCTAGAATGATACATTTATTGCATAAATAATTAGTCTTAAAAAAGTAATTTAATCCCCAAGTCATGCCAATTAACAAAATTTCAGATTTTTAACAAATGAAATAATTAATTTTTAGGTAATTTAACACACCAATAAGATAAGTCATTAATAAAACAAATGTTAAATAAATAAGGAATATAGTAGTAAAATTTTAGTATTTATCAGAAATGCTACTTGAAAATCTTTACTGTAGATTTTTTTAAGGGAAACAAGAAATAGCTAGGAGACAAAATATAAAATTTTGATGCTTTTCAAATTAGCAGAACCAAAATTTCAAATATGAAAGCATTACGACCTGTAAAATATATAAATTTTCAGTGACCACCTTTCGTCTTAATGTAGCAAACTGTCAACTGTAAGGGTGTCATGACATTTTCTGTACGGGCAAGATGGACCAAAAAGGTCCAAGATGGACCAAATAGGGGATCAATCCTTTGGATTCATGTTTGAAGGAAGTGACCGTTTTTGTACTATATGAAAAGTTAAGAAAATGTCGTGCATCCTTTTTACATGACTTTAGCCGGATTTGTTTGAGCTAAGTCTTTAAATCCACTTAAGAAACACGGTATTTAANTATATATATAGGGGAAATGTGAGAGAGCGATGCTCGTTGGCTACCAAAAACATTTAAACCAAGGACTTTCGGGTTCGTAGTAGGGATGCTTTAACTACCATAGTTGTACACCAAAGTCCCGGGTGAATTAAGAAGTTTCATATAGTGGGCATTGCAATAACACATCATGACATGCTAATTTTCAGTTTCAATGGTATTAAGGACAAGGGTTGCAGGATTGAATGTAAACAAGGTTTGTAATTTGGGATAGTCAGCCTTAGTCTGACTGTCAGTCCAATGGCTTAGGCAGGAGATTGATAATTTTAATTTTACTTTTTGCTTAGTTCGTTATATCTTAAAAACTTTTTAGCAAAAGGAATGTATGCAATGACGTGTCATTGCGGCGGCTACCTTATAAAGCACCCTGACTGATCCTGGACTTGGGTTTACTTGTATAACTATGTTGGTCAGAGCATTCCTACTACAAATCAAAGTTTCTTGGTTTGAATCTTACCGGCAGCCAACGGACTTTTCAACCACACATTTCTTCCTTCATATCATTTTTGAAACTATGCATTTTGCCAAAAAAATGAGTATATGTTGCTTCAATTTTGAATACGTGGGTTTCTAAATTTGACTGTTTATTTGTTTTAGAGCTATTTCAACACCTTTTTTTACAGTGTATTTCTATGAAAATCATCATATCTGTCATCATCAATCATGCATATCTGTTTCTTTTGATGTTTACTTATAGCAAAATTATAAAATAAATAATGTTATAACTTGATTTCTAGGGAATTATTCTTTCAACTCTTTCTGGAATAGTAATATTGTGTAAAAATATTTGTCCTAAGCTAAGAATTATTTTTTAGTATATTGGGTAATTTTCATATTTTCTCATTCCCACTTGATTACAATGCTCGTCAACATCCTACTTCTACATCGAATTCATAATTTCTTTAATCAAAAATGCCTTTCAAAGGGATTTAGAAATATGGCTTATCATTTTATTGTCTCCAGCCTTTCAATTGTTCAATATTTGTAAACAATAAGGTGATAAGACAGAGGTTCAATTTGAATTCGAATGTTTTGACTTTAATTAGTACTGGAATTAAAGTCGCAATTGGATTTAAAAAAAAAGTTTAAAAAAATGATGGAATTAGAAAATTAAATTTAGGATAAAGTTTGAATGGTTGAATGAATAAATAATATCATCAGAGACATCTATTCTAAAAAATGATTAAATATTTATTTAATAAATACAAATGTTAAAGTGGAGTACACAAAATGATCATGAAATAGTTAATTTCAATAAACAATCAAAATTTTATTATTTTTATCCTAATTATTTTTATAATAAGCATTTTTGTTTTTTAATTTAAAATTAAGATTTGTTTTGAAACCATCATCAACACATCTTGGTACCTTTACTTGCAACTCTCCTGAACTAATCTAAAAAAAAAAAAACTCTAAATTAGAAAAAGAACAATGTATTATATATAATATCCCTGAAAAAATATGAAATAATAAATTGACATATGCAGTGGTAATCATTTATAATTTTTGCTAAAATTGAGTAATCCTTTTAACACTCGTTAAAAACGGGTTAATTACTGAGCTTTAAAGTGTACCCATAACTTTTTTAGCTTAGAAAGAGAGAAAATCATGAAAAATGCGACTTCTATAAACACATTATGAAAAATAAAATGTTGCATGATCATATGCCTGGAAAAGAAATGTTTATGTACTAATAATAAACAATTACTAATAATATATGGATATATGGATAAATATANTTGACACTATAAAAACATTTTCATCAAAACACTAAATCAGATTGGAATTCTTGTCTTATTAAAACTATTTGATGTAGACGCTACCCACTATGTTCTCTATTTATAGCAAGGTTTGTAAGATAAAGTATTTTGCTTTTGCTTTCTTTGAAAAAAAATAAATTTAAGTTTGATAAAATTATTCCGTACAAAGAAAATTAGTTCATAGTAATTACAAGACTTGTCAGATAGCAAGGTTAATTTGCGTAAAAATAGAATATTTTTATAAATTGGTTAGCCTCTCCATTATTCGAAATACTTTTTTGTTATGCTTTTTTACACTCTTTTTAATCATCTTAAACTTTAAAGAAAACGATACTTGCAGTTTATGGCTCCAGCGTATGCTATATTATGTATTTTCAATTTTTTTTTAATTTCATTGCGTTTACAGATTTTAAAATTATGATTTACAAGGAAGATATATATATATATATATATATTAGTAAAGAAAAGTTGCTTAAAGCAATTAACCCTAAAACTTATTTTCTTTTGAAATTATATTGAACATCCTTGATTTTTTTGTTGCGATTTTAGATTGCAATAATGATAGTAGTTGTATATAAGTTTTCTTTTCAAGCTTTAAAAAAAAGTTATTGTAGCATATGAGAAGAATTTTTTTTTCGTTTAAATTTTATTAAAAAGTACCATTTAATGTATTAAATAATGTTTTATTATACTTGAGTCTTAATGAATGTTCTAGCTTACTTAACGTAAGGAAAAAGTTACAAGTTTCTAAAATTTATCCAACCAATAAACATGCCAAATATATTCTTTAAAGAATTAAATCAGATAATGAAGTTATGAGAGGGACTGTTTTGATTACAATGTACATTAAATATTCAAGATTACTTCGGTAGACTTCTTAGAATGTTCTATAATATCTTTATTACAAAACAAGATATATTTGTTCAACAGCTACATTAAGGAAGCCTGTCTAAAAGTATAATTAGAGATTTAAATCACGTATTAGATTTAGCAGAATGAAATAAATTTTGGCGTCGGTTGGTCGTGAAACTTTGAATAATATTTGAATTTAAATAAATGTTTTAAGATTTAGTTCAATATTCGATAGAGCTTATACTTTGCTAAGCATAAAATTTTAATCTGAAACATAAATGAATTTATTCCCAATGTTTCTTTAAAGACAAAAAAACATTAAAACACTTTCTACACTGAAAAAAAGACTATGGTCATAACTACCAGAATATGGTAAGGTTTATCATGTTTCTGGCTCGATTAGAATACCAAAAATCTCGGTAATTTTTACTGAAGCGTTTCGGTGAAATTGACAATAGAATATGGTTTTATCATATAAGGTAAAATTTGATAAATGTGTAAAATTTAGTAAATATGGTAAAACATGGTAATTTTTTTTCATGATACCTTAGTTCCTGGTATGAAAACCATTTATTCGGGACCATTTATTATACCATTAAAATATGAAACTTTTCAGTTTCATATTTTACTAAATGCTTGGAAATAAGAAATATACTCTTGAAAACCAAACCAAAATTAACAGATAATCAAGGTATTTTAATATTGATTTAATTTTGTTCGTAATCATAAAATGTTTTAAAATATTATGGCTTTTTAATGTCACTGAAACAAAAATTGTATTCTATATCCAGCTTTGAAATGCATTCGAAAGAAATAATTTTATTAATGCGTTAACAGTAATTTTTTATATTCAGTTTCTAGTTTTGATCGATAGTATGAAATATTTTAAATTAGGATGTTTTTTATGTTACTGAATTATAAAAACTGTATTTTATTGACAATTTTAAAATGTATTTCAAAAAATGTTTCCTGTCTCATTGTCATCAATTCAGTTCTAATTTTGTTCTTAAAGTAAAATACTTTTCATGACTTTTGCATGCTTCTAGATTACTGAATTTTATATCTAAATTTGGAATGAATTTCTAAAAATTCTGAATTTGATAAGATTAATTTGCGATATACAGTTTGTTTTTGTGTTTGAAGGTGCAATGATTGTAAATAATCGTAATTGTTTTTGTAATATAACCTAACGTAAATGCTTTTTTATATTCTTTATTTTCAGACATTTCTCCAACAAACAACAGCAAAATGAAATAAAATAAAAATAAAAAATGAATTAAAAATACAGAAAACAAAGGAAATACATTTTAAGAAAATTACTCAACAAAGAAGACAAGAAAAAAATGCAACAGATAATCTACTGGATTGATTTGATTTTTATTGAAAAGTTGATAAAATTAATAACGGCTAAATGGATTAGTGAAAATAATTACACTGCGTAAAAATTATGGCGCAAGGCCAAAACTTACCATATTACCATAAAAGTTACCATATTTCTAGCTCTATAGAAGCACCAAAAAGTTTTAAATTTTAATTAAGAGTAATTTTTACCCTAGCACTTTGGTAATAATTTTGTCAAAATTAACAATAAAATATGATTTTCCCCTTGCAGTCAGGCTAACCTTGATAGGTTCTCGTGGTCTTCCCCTCCACTTAACTCAAATTCGGGTTAGTTCCATCAAAAAGTACTCTACGAAGGCAAATTTCTCCCGATACTTGATCCAGGAGTTCCCTTGTCTTCTGGATTGGCTTCAAAATTACAAGGTAACGGTTTTGAACATTAGTAGTCGCAAACCCAAAATTGGGTTAGCTGTTCAACGACGGTTATAAAATAAAATAAAATAAAATANACGAGGGCAAATTTCTCCCGATACTTGATCCAGGAGCTCCCTTGTCTTCTGGATTGGCTTCAAAATTACAAGGTAACGGTTTTGAACATTAGTAGTCGTAAACCCAAAATTGGGTTAGCTGTTCAACGTCGGTTATAAAATAAAATAAAATAAAATAAAGTAAAATATGGTTCATTTATGTTATTAAATTAACTATAAATATAAAAAATGGTAAATGTGGTAAAATTTGCTAAGTAATTAATGATACCTTAGGACATGGCATAAAACCCATTCATACAGTAAAATTTACTTTTCAGTTATATATTTTTTTAATAAATGTGTGTTAATAAGATATATAGTTTTAAATACCAGAATTTCCGATGCACCGTTGCCAAATGAAAGGAAAATGTTTTTATTTTTTCATTATTTTTATTTTTTTAATGGCGGGCACTTGGAACTATTGTCCATTGGCCTCAGAAAGGGCCAGAACTGCTACCCTCTTCTCGTTACCCAGTGGGCACCTGTGGCGAAGCCACGGTGGTGGAGCAGCGTAGCCCACGTCACACAACCACAAGCCTGTTTATAGGGCGGGTCATACGCACACATTCACGCACAAAGGAGAAAGGACATAGAGCACAAAGAGAGAGAAAGAAACATCTATGCCCAGAGCGGGATTCGAACCCGCAGCCACTGGCTCCGCGTCATGCACGCTAACAGCTCGGCCACCAGGCCGACTGAAAGGAAAATGTACTAAATGCATATTTTAAATATTGTATATTTTAATTTTATCAGCCAAATTTTTTTTACCTAAAATGTCATTACCATGCAGAGTATGGTACTTTTACATGCTTTTTGAAATCTGAGTATAAATAATTTTTCCTGAATTTCAAAAATTTAATATTCTGACTCCATAATCTAGGGGGGAAAAGAGAAGCACAAATTTTCATTGCTTGAGTATTTTGTGCACATTAAAAATAATTTTGTACGTTTGAAATTAATATTAAAGTTAAGAAAAACAAAACAATACAACAGCCTAACATATCACTATTGAGGAAGACGAGATTCAAGAACAACATAACCAGTTTGATAACTGAATGATATTTAGAAATGTTTCTCATAATCATCCTTGACTTCTCCAGTTTCTTCAAGTAAAGGAAATTAACTGTAAAAAATTTCGGATAGAATTACGGTAACCAGTTTGATAATTGAATGATATTTAGAAATGTTTCTCATAATCATCTTTGACTTCTCTAGTTTCTTCAAGTAAAGGAAATTAACTGTAAAAAATTCCGGATAGAATTACGGTACAGAGTACCGGTACTTTTACCGTAAAATATTGTATCGTTATTTTTACAGTAATATTTATTTAATTAGAGTGATTCAGTGATTTCACGATAGTTATTACTGTAAAAATTCGGTGTATCAGATGGTTTGTTCCTAATATGTTTCTGTAAATTGGATATTACGGTAAAAGTACTGACACCAAGAGTGTAGATAATTTTTGCCACATTTCAATCTGGTATTTTTTACACTGTAGATCTCTGTGATCTTTCTTTCCTTGTTAATAATTTACTCTATTCTAACACTGTTTCAGTTTTTACCTCACTTAAATATTAAGTTGCGAGTCCTAATGTGTTTTCTATCTGGTCCCTTAATTTGACAAGTATTCCAAAAATATTCATTAAGAGCTGTGGTTACGGAGCACCACTTATTTTGAGGAAAAGCACACTGACACGATAAAAGTAAAATTATCAGCGGTATTTTTATCAGTTTCATTTCAAATGTTAAATTTAATCGAAATTTGATTTACTTTCGATTTAAAACCTGAATTCATTTAACTATTTAATTAAGAATAGTTTACACTGCTTAAACTAGGTCACCATCTGGATGTAGTTTAGGTTACATGGCGCTTGTATTTAGGGGTTTACAACTATTAAGCTAAATCTCTGAGAATAAGCTTTTAAACTAATTGAAGAGATGAAGATTCATACTAAGTGCTCATTATAAAGTCCTTATTATGATGAAGATATTAAATTAACGTAAATTTTGATTCACCTGCCTCTTACAATATTCCACTTCATTTTATTAGGTCCTTAAGTATGAATTCGCCACGGTCCGAGGTCATTATAGACTTGGACAGACACTGTTTGATCCAGACAAAAATGTCAATGAAACCTTACCTAGATCTTAAGTATGAGTATTTTTAGGTGCGACGAGTATTTTGTTTTGTATCTTGCAATGACACAAAAATTGTCTCAGTGATTAAAATACTCATACATATTTATACGCATAATGCCATAGCTTGCCATTTGAAAAAAAAAACAATTCCATTAATTAAAATTAATTATTCTTTTTAGTTTTTTTTAATTATTTCATAAACAAATGAAGTATTTTATTACTTTTTACATATTTTAGGCCATTTTTATAGCGTATTTGTTTATATTTTTACAGTGTATTAGCTTTTACAGTGCATTTCTTTATATTATTTAAACGAAACTCAAACTTTCTAAAAGATAACTTGAATCGAATTTATTATTTTGAATTTATAATTAATTATTTCATTAATTCAATTAAATTATTTTTTCGCTAATAAAAATTCATTTAAAATTCCAACTAACGAGGGTAAATCCAATTATATTTTTACGCAGAAAATCGCTTTGTAAAGATATAAAAACAAAACAAAATCTTAAAGTTTTATCTTTTAAGTGATAAAATTATGTCAAATAATATTCATTACATTAGACTTAAGATCCCATATGGTTAAAAAAGTTAAAGATGCAGACTTTAGTAGAGGAAATTCATTTTTATAATTTGAAAAACACAGTCAAATAAAAGATTTTCAATAGCTGTAAAATTATTAAAATATAATCATAATTTTCACAAAAATTCTAAATTTATTGGAGTGATCATTCATTTTCTTTTTCGTTCATTTGTAGATCGTTTTAAAAAAATTACGTCTGTACGAGTTAAGTTTTTAAGTAAATGATTAAGGTTAAGATTCATCGATGACATTTCAGAAATTCTCATTGTTAAAAATAATTCTTAAATGCTTGTCATGACTTTGTGATTCTAAAGGGTGTTTCACAATGATCAATCCTAATATATTTTATTTTTTTGATTACTTTAAAAAGAATGAAGTGAAGCAATAAATATAAGCAAAGCAATAAATATAAGCATTTAATAATGAATTGTTTGCATTTTTTCTTTCATTTTTTTTACTTGAAGTTTAAGATTCTGTCAAAACATTATCTTCTTTGCAGGTAAAAAGTAATTATAAATTAACGGGATAAATTGACCAATTAATCCCTAGGACGCAAAATTAATTCTGACCAAAATTATTAAGATAATATTGCACGAAATCTAGGTTTTTTGTAACGCACTCTTTTAACGATGAGCTTCAGTGTTCATGCAGAAAGTTGCTGTAAAGGAACATAAATAATGTCCATGGCTTTAAATTTTTTAAAAACCAATTTGTAATACTTTAAGAAAAATGAAAACTAATTAATATTATAATTAATTTTGTAATATTTTAAATTTAAAGAAAGGCACTTCACAATTATAATAATCCTAAAAGTTGTAAAACATTTAAATGCGTGATAAAAAAAAGTAAAAATAAAGAATAGAAAGAGCGTGGTGCTTACATCCTGGCCCATTATCTTCCTGTTGTTCCATTTTCCACAGCATTTGGATCAATTTTTTTCTGAATGGAACATCCTGAGATAACTGAAATAAGAAGATTATATTGAACTTTTTTCCGAAAAATCAGAAATGTAGATTTCAGAATAAAACTTTTAAAATCCAATTTCTGAACAGTATTTAAATGGTGACAAAGAAAACTCTTTGACAAGATTTACTAAAACAGTGTGTGACCTGCTACTTCTAGTTAGTTTTTCAAACTATTTTAAAAATATTTTTCATTGAAACATTATTATATCTAAGAATTTATTTGAAAAATATGTATAAAACAAGAATATAGCAAAGCGTTGATGAAACACAAATAAATGCACGAAAATGGATATACTATAGTTATAGTTCTATAAACAGTAACGTTCGTCTGTATCGAAGCACAAAATGACAGGAGAAAGTAACGAAGCAAACACATTGCTATAAGGAGATAAGTGGTTTAATCCGTATTTTACCATCGTCCTATATACAGGACAGTTGCAATTTGTTGCATTTTTACAGCTGATATCGTTAAATTTTATTATTTTTCACTTCTAAAAGGAAGTTTTTGATGGATTGACATTAATTACACCCATTTTATGTTTAATTTTATGTTTTTTGTATTTTTTTTTTAAATTTATGAAAATAGCTATTTTTTACTATTTAATTTGACACGAATTAAAATTTCATTTCCAATAATTGCAAGAAGAAGACAATAAATTTCTTTTGAAATTTATTAACTCCAAGACTTTAGTATTACATTTGAGTAAAAATTGATTCAAAAAATGTATATTTAAACTGGTTTTACAAGTGATTTAGATGCTGTCCTATATACAGGGCAATGGTAAAATCCCCTACTACCGGCACCCTGCTGAGAAACTCAATTACATCCGGGTTTCTTTGAACAAAACGTCAGAGTTTACTTTTAAAATTCCTCCTCATTGGTCAAGAGGTTTAATCACGTGGTGACGCTATCTTTTTGGTGGGAAATTATGAACTTAGAAGTGAGCTATTCATTCAATGCCTAGTCATTTTAGCGAGAAAGCGTCGAAAATGAGTCGAAGATTTTTAACAATTGAAGAGGCCCATGACTATTTAATGTCATTGAGCATGGACCTGTTATATTTGATGAAAAACCACAAGAAGAAACTGCAGGAACTATCGAAGTTATAAGGGAAAAGACAACTGAAGAAGTAAATATTTCATCACCAAAATGACCGAATCGAACACCAAAATATTCGTTAGCTCCCGAATTATTTCATAGTGAGAATCATCAAAAAATAGCGGACATGGTTTCAGGAAAATCAAGCTTGAGCACGATGATAAAAGAAGAGAGAGATACAGGTGTGAGGGGGTCGGGTGTAAACCTCAGTGTGCAGGAAGTGGTATTTAAATTAGAATAGATTTCCAAACATTATGAATGAATATGATATTAGAAAGATCATTAACTAAATTATAAGAATTTTTCAAAATGCGGAACAATTTTTAGAAGTTAAGGTCAGCAGATAAAGAGCAATTTTGAATGATTTCAGCTAAAGGAAACTCAAATGTATGATTAAAATTAAACTCTGTAGGGCGTTGGAAGATATTTCGATATTCTTATTTTGGACATATCTTTCGTTGTTTTTAAGTCGAAGTTTAAGGGTAGGTATTGTTTTTTCATTATACTCAAATCCACACTGACAAGAAATTTGATAAATGCCCTGCATATTAATATCCGCAGTAGGCTTTCTAAGGTTGGAAAAGTTTACTGGTAAAAAAATGACATTCAACTCAAATTTTACGACCTGTTTCTTATTTTCCTTCTTTTATTATTTCGTTTAAGCTTTTACCTCTATCCATATTGATTAAACGACTATTTTTCTTATTGCAACGTATTTGTCTCGTTACTTTCTGATGTCATTTTGTGTTTCGACGCTGAGATATCTTTTGTCTATACAACTGAAACTATAGAACTCATATTCTTGTGCATTGATTTGTGTTTCATTCACTTTGATTTGCTTGATTCATACATAGCACAAATTATTCCCTAGTTTTATTTGAATGTATATGACATGCTATTAATAAACACATAGAACTTTATTTCACCCCGTTCTTCAAATGGTACATTTCGAAACAAAACGATATTTTGTAAGTAGCTTCCAGATTTTTCTAGACAATTTAACAAATTTTTTTTTTCTAACTTACAAAAATTTTACTGCTCTTCTTTTAATAACTTCTTGATTTATTAATTTACAAAATTTACATCAATTGTTGTATCGAACAAAACATGATACTATTACAGAATTTATCTCCTTTTGAAGCAACTCTCTGCACATATTAAATTAAGTATTCGAATTACATCAAAATAATTTAAGTACTTTTCTTTTAATAAATTTTTTTTTCTAATGGGGAAATGCGTAGAGAAATATTTTCTTCTTTGTATTTTAAGTATAAAAGTTCTTTTTAGAGGCCTTTACCCTCAATTTCTTGGGTTTTAGGCTAAATTTTTAATTTGTGTTTTCTTGATACTATTGTACTTAACAAACTTTTGATGATTTAATATTATTAAACAGCACAATATCTTTAAAAGAAGTTAAAAACAAAGGGGTCACTTTAATATATTAGGAGAAATAGCGTTTGATATTTTTAGAGCTAATATGAATTTTTCTTCAAACCTTTAAGGCAATTTTTTAAGAAAAAATTTAGGAAACTCAAATCTTACTGAAATTACTCAAAATCCCAAAGGTTTCGGATTTTAAGTAGGTAATTTAACAGCGTATTAAAACATCGTGTTTCTCAGTTTTCAGATTTTTTAAAATTTAATTTTATTATAGTTACCCTTTATATCTGAAATTTTGATTGGGTGTTAGCCTTGTATACTACATGTATTGAGAGATACTGCCAAATATAATAAATATCTATCATTTGTTTACTTGTGAAAATAGAATTAGAAGGGCCTCTTAAAAAGTATAGTTTTCTTTGGGGGAAGGGAGTAATCTGTGTTTTAATTTTTCAAAATGATAATTACCATATCCAAGAAATCATCTGTAAAGTCTTTTGAAGGCGTGGCCGAGAAGGCCAGAGGAAACTGCGGAAGTTCTTTTTCTACTTCGTGAGACCTCTTCCTTCCATTCGTCCACCCTCGACTGTATTGGTAGGTTTGTCCTGCTGTTGACAAGGCTAATTGAAGAACAACCAGCGCTGCAACCGCAGTGGTACTTTTTAGAGCCACCATCAGAGAGGAGTCTGGAACACGAATTTTTTCGTGATTAATGCTGAATATACATTTTTTATATAGTTTTTGATAATCGAGAGAACATGGGCAAATAATAATTCTAAGGTTTGCTGACTTACTAATAACATAAATTTATGCCTATCAAAAGTAGGTGCAATTAGTTAGTTTAAACTGATCCGGTTATAGATGGACATATTGCTCTGAAGAATAAAGGACAAAGTGATCATTCTAGATGTATTTTCACTAGCAGGTTAATAAATAATTCACATTGAGTAATTAAGCTCATAAATACAGTTTTGTTTAATAATTATTAATGTAAGCAATTTGATACATAAACCAAATCATCGTTTTTTACAATAAAACCAGTGCAATCAGTTTAGTCAAAAAATATGTTTGTATAAACAATATGTTATTATTTCTGAAATCGTTGGTTTATAATAAATGTAAATAAGTTTACATGATTATAGGTATTTTTAAATTTAAATAAATTTACATGATTGCATCCATTACTGATTAGTGCCATTCGATACTCGATTGTCCCGTCCGGCAGTGAACTGATCGTAAAGACACGGTCTCCAGTAGAACACCGAAGTCAAGCATCACGGGCTGCAATCAGAAAGCGGGTGGGTGACCACTACGATCAACCTATATAGGTACCGAGGGTGCGTGGTATCGGTCCTCGTTAAACTGTTATACCGTAAAGTGCTCGACTTCAAGGGCAAGTCGTTGGGCTACCAAAGCAGGGGAGCCATTCCCTCAGCAGAAGATCAAAATTGCGATGGCATGTCTTCGGATCCTGCTCAGGGATGTTTCACAGACCGTCGCCAATAGCCCATTGTGCAACTCTAGTGCAACGTAAATAAAGTACCTACCTACCAATACTCGATAAAACGTTTCTTTAGCCAGGTATGGTTAATAAGCTTCATTGTAAATGTGGTTTCGAAAACCGAGTATTAGCAGACAGCACTGTACACAGTAAAAAATACCAGATAAAATTTATGATTAATTGCGGATGAATTGATGTTTTCCGGGTGAATTTTACGGTAAAATTCAGTTTTACCGGAACATGTTACGTGACAAAAATCTGATATACCTTAAATTTTACAGTAATAATTACCATAAAATCGCTGAATCACTCTAATTAAATATATATTGGAAATTGAAATGAAAATTATTACTATGAAGATTACGGTATAATATTTCACGGTAAAAATTGATTTTATGGATGATGCACCCAAAGTGCCGGTACTTCGTACAGTAATTTGATCCGAAATTTTTTACAGTGTAGAAAGAAGGTACTTAATATGCGATAACTCCAATATGGAACTCTCCTATTGTTAGTGAAAAAGATAGTGGTTCCAGTATAATGGATTTTACGACAAAACGTACCAGCATCCTGAATGCCGGTACTATTTACTGTAATTAGTTCCTACTTTTTTACAGTGGGGGTGACCTTAGGTGGTAGAACCCAAGCAGGTTAGCATCTCAATCTTCGTTCCATCGTGGCTTAATCATATGATACTATATAATTTAATTAACTGTATGTACTTACGTTTTCGTGGCAAAATTTTACTACTCATTGAACTCATTGATTTAAAAGTACTTTTCTACATTATAAGAGTGAAGGATAATGCTTTTTTCTGCAACAAGATATTAGGGGGACCGGAAAGTAACGTCGTTTCGGCGCGCTAAATATTCGTTAGTCTTAAAAACCAATTCCTTTTTATTGATCCATTTCGATTCATACTTTCCGGCTCGCTTAATATTTATAAAGTTTATTCAAGTTATCATTAATCAACCCCCATTTGAATGGATTCGTTAAACTCAGTTCATTAATTTAAAATTAGGTTTTTATGCCTTCATATTCTAAGAAAATCATTTTCACCATGTCATTCGAAACAAGAGTTGCATTACTAATAATAAATTATATAATAGCGCTTCCAAGAATTTTTGCTAAAAGAAACGTGGAGAATTATTAGAAATATTCTCATAATTATCTTTAGGCAACTAACGAACAGAGTTGATATATTTATTGAGCAGATGGATAGGAAGGTTCTCAGAGAGGAATTGTGCAAGAAAAACTTCTAGTTTATAAGTAATGTGTATGATATTTGATGTTTTAATTTTCTATATCTTAAAAGTGTTTTATTACTTAAATGGCAACGTACAAGAGATCAGAATTGCGCTAATATTGCGGTTTTGATCTTTTACGTTTTAAAAAGAATTGATCTTTGCTAGATAAACTGCATTATACGAGGGATAAGAAATGAGTTGGTATTGCTCTTTCAATTTCCGATGTTATAAATATCATTAGTATTAGATAAATTTAAGCGTCAAATAAAAATTAAATTTCAGATAACTGAAATATTTAAGCTATTTCCGTCTAAAAAAGTGTTTTTACGAGGAAAAAAAAAACAGTGAAAAATATCCAATTTTGTGATAAATTATGCTTGAAATTCAAAATATTTTTTGTTGTTAACCTCTATTCTTCTATAAAAGTGTGGATATTTTAAATATTTTTTGCCGAAAATACCTAGTACTTTATTTTCTAAGATTTAAGTTTCGCAGGTAATATTTTTTAGTCATTACAAGATTTTTATATTCCGTGACCACTATCCAGTGCTCTACTAACTCAAAAATTGTAATATTTTGTGTTGTGTGAAATATTCTTGTTTTAAAATGTTATAAATAAAATATCAGAATTTCGTAAACGTATATATAAAGTGGGACTGCATTTCCTAATTTAAAATGCAAGTGTAAGTTTTTAAAGTCAAAATTGCCAACTAAAAACTAAAAACTGTATTTATGAAATATATATTATGTACTTTTATTTTTGAATTTTCATGTAGAAAATATTTTAGTTTCAAGCTGTGTATTCCTGTATTTTACTTTCGTATTTATAAAAAGTAAAGGTATCATATACAGGTAGAGCATATTATACTATGGAATCTGGCATTTATTGGTAAATAAACCAATAAAATATTGAAATTTGATTAATAAAAAACTGAAAAAAAGATTGCCAAGTATTAAAAGTGTTTTAGAAATTGAATATTGCCATCCTTTCTTCAATTTCAGATTAAATTGTTTGCAGTCAAAATCTATGAATACTGTTTGCCAAAAAAAAAATAATAATAATAATAACATACGGGGGTTGGACAAAATAATGGAAACACTTCTACACTGACACATTTTTTGATCTTTTTCAAGAAATATTTAGAGAATCATTTTATAAATGTAGAAGTGCTTAGGTTTTACATTTTCTCATAATTATCAATAAAATTTAAAGCTTTTAGAGATTTGAGAGACCGACAATAAATTACAAACAGAAAATAGTGTTTTTGAACACCCTATGCAAGAAATGTAGCAATAAATTTAGAGCAATAAATTTAGAACTTATAACAATAATTTTGGTTATTATAAGAGATGATTTTATGAAATTTCATAAATCTAGCTTAAATATTTATGGAGATATGGACATTTTTATGAAAAACTAATTTTTTTGTCTCGCGTTTTTTGGAAATAACTTTAAAAATACTCAATAAAATTTAAACAAAATTTTTGGAGAAATCTAAAATTAGTAACGAAATCATTGTTTCAGAATTTGAGAAAAATTTGTTAAAAACTGCGAAAGATATGAGTAATTAAATTAGCTTTTTTAAACAGCGCATGCGAGGGAAATATTTAAATTTTTTGTACTTAATTTTGAAGTGAATCGTATTTAGCAACTAATAAAAAAATTCGATTTGAATATCCTAAAAATTTAAACATTTTCAAGTAATTTTCTAGTTAGTTTTCATATTCTTTCAAAGAAAACTCAAAATGATGAGGAGTTTTCTACAAATTTCATTTTGTACTATTAAGCAAGATTTATTAATAATGACACTAGCATTGTTGGGGATCGGATCAACCCCCATAAAAGTATCTTTCCTTTCGCATGTTTTTTTTTCCTTATACAATCATATTTCGGCGTATTAAAGTTTATTGTAAGGTATAATTATTAGTCATTTAATTTTGTCTTATACAAAATAATATTTGTGGAACATCCCTTTCTTCAGTTTCTTTTAAAAGGTTCAAAAACTACTAAGAAAATTGCTTGAAACCTTTAAAATTTTTTAAGATATTGCAATCAGACTTTTTTCATTATATGCTAAATACGATTCACTACAAAATTATGCAAGAAAATTTATTTATTTTTCCTCGCATGCACAGTTTGAAGGAACTACTTTAATTACTTATGTATTCAGTTCTAAAAGATTTTTTTTCAAATGTTAAGGAAAAAAAAATTGTTATTCATTTTAAATTGCTCTAAAAAGTTTGTTTAGTTATATTGAATGTTTTTAATGTAATAACATATAAGCGTGACACAAAATAATTAGTTTTTTATAAATATGTCCATATCTCCATCAATATTTAAACTAGGCTTACTAAATTTCCTGCATTTATTGCATATAATGACCGAAATATTTGTTACAAGTTACAAGTTTATTGCTAGATTTTTTGGTATAAGGTGTTCTAAAACACTATTTTTTGTTTGTAATTTACAGTCAGTCTCTCAAACCTGCAAAAACTTTAAACTTAAACTTCATTGATTAGTATGAGAAATCGCATGATCTAAACGCTTATAAAGTTATAAAATGATTCTTTAAGTATTTCTGGAGAAATATGATTAAAGTATTGGTATATAGAAGTGTTTCCATTATTTTGGCCTCCCCTGTATATCATATTATTCATAGGTATTAATAAATTTATAAAATTGTTTTTTGAAAATTATTATTTATTAATATCTTCAAAATGTTTATATTTTGAGCAGCCATTTTACATAAAAAAATTTATTTAGATTTTTAAAATATTTTGTTTTAAATATTTATTTTGATTAATTCCTTAAAATTTTCAATGATTGTGAATGGGCAAAAAAAAAATAATTTTTTCCCCATTTTTATATCTTATTAACTTACAGAAGTCTTATTACTGGTAAAACTTATCTTATTACTTTCCCATTTAGAAGTCAAAACTGAAAATTCCAAAGAAATGTTTTAAAAGTGAGAAAAAAAAAGGAATTTAATAGTTGCATTTTTTAATTTTATTTGTTGGGATATATTAATCGATTTCTTTAAAATTTCGGACATGGAAATTTTCAATTGCGCAAATTAACAAGATGAATCAATCTAACAAATGCGGTGACACTACGGACACACTGAGAAGCAAATTCTGGTAAAATTACTGCATGGTAATGACATATCTGTTAAAAAAAAATTCTGGTGAATAAAATCAAAATATACGATATTTAAACCATTCATTTTGTAATTTTCCCGTTAATATGGTTACAGTTTACAAAAAATTCTGGTTTTTCAAAATTATAAATCTTATTACCACACATTTAGTGAAAAAATACAAAGCTGCAAAGTAAATTCAACAACTTCTTGTCTTTATAAGATATTGACAAGATATAAGATATAAGACTCATTTTCCAAATCTTTTCTTGTAAATATTTGTTTGTCCGCAATATTTAAATAATTTATATTTTTCTCGAAATTACTTTTTGCTCTTTATTATTGTTCTGCTTTTGCATTTCTTGCCATTTTTGTTTTGGTGACAATTATTACCTGAAGTGTAGAGTGTTGCATATCAGACCAATTTTAAAGTTTTTTTTTTGCAAAAGGTTAGACCTCAAGTAATTAATTACTCAAATAATAATTGTTATGCAAAATCAAGAACAAAAAGTAATATTAATCAGTAATACATCCCACTTTTTATGTTAATCTAATTTTTCGTAAATGATTTCAATCATAAATTTTAGAAAAATATTAAGGAAAATAATTTGGCTCAAAGGCGACCATATCTTGTTTGAGTTCATTTCTTGAATTTGAATAGTTGATTGGTTAGTTAGTTTAGTTGATTGAATTTGAATATTTATGCAATTAAATCTTTTTTTCTTCATTTGTTAATATTTTATTGGAATAAATTATATTTTATTGGAATATTTCACAAATGTATTATTCTTTGCTAAGAACATGAAAAATTTTGCATGCCGAGTTTTTTACTCTACCAGGAAATACAGTGCTACTGGACCAGTTGTACCTGAATTTGATTAGATCAGGACATAATTCATAGACTGGTTTGTAATAGTAGTACTTTATTTTCGTTGAAGTAGAGCTTCACAATTGGCTATTGATGACTGTCTGGGAAAAATGCCTGCACTAAAAAATAATGTATGGTCAAAACGCTGGAATACGGTAAAAATTTACCGAGTTTCTGGTTTCTAGGCACACATAGTAGCACGCTAATTTCAACTGAGCAGCAATACAACTCCGTAATGATTTTGGTATAATCAACAATAAAATATTGGTGAATGTGATAACATGATATTTTAGAGCATGTCATAAAAATCATTTTTCGGTTGAATTTACTTTTCAGCTTCGTATTCGTTGCTAAATGCGTGGTGAAAAGAATTTTGAGAACCAGAATTTCCGTTAAACCGTTAAGACTTGAAAGAAAAAAATTACTAAATCAATGGTTTAAATACAGTTTTGGCTTTATCACCTGAATTATGTTTTTCTTCTACCAGAAATATCGTTACCATTCAATACAGTAGTTTTACTATTGTTTGCTCCGTGGGAGGATATTTTAATCCTCTGCAGAAGGGATTCCGTGCTTTGGTAGCCCGACTATCTGTACGTGAAGTCAAATACTTTATGGTACAGTTTAACGAATTTTTCCTTTACAGACCAATCAAAGTGGTCACCTACTCGTTAACTGATCCTGGCCACAGATGCCTGACATCGGTGATCACCTAGGAACCGTGTTCCACGATAAGATCATTAAGGGGTTAGCTCAAGGTTCAGCCGACCCACTCTTTTTTGATTTTATTAGGCCAAACAAAAATGAATTATTATTTTTAAACGCATGTTATTTAATTATAAGGAAAACAGACTATATGAAAAATAATATTTAATGATAATAAAGTTTCATAAAATAAGAATTTATTCATTTTAGTTTTAATAACTTTTCCTTTGAAAATTAAAAAAAAATTAGATTACAATGAGTATTAACTAAATAATTAATAATTTTTCATATATTAATACATAAATATGAATGTTATTGTTTCTTATTTAATACTTTCATGTTTTCTTATATATAAAATAAATGCATATTTAAATCAGAAATAGCAACAAAAAAGCATTTTTAAATAAAAATTATTATTATTAATTTAAGAGCTTTTTTACGCCTGTAATTAACATTGTTTAATAATATATATATTATTCTAGAATAAAATGAATTCTTTGTGGTCCATCATGTTAAACAATTGCACTACGTTTCACAATTTGAATTTTTTTGCTGTTTTGATTGCAAATATATGCTTATAACAGAACTAGAAGTAAAAACATTTTTGAATTTAATTGTTTTTACAATTAATTAAAGGAAATGTTTTCTACTGCAACTGTCAAAACACTTGTATATTATTCTAGTAACTTGTTATAAATAAGTACCGTTGCCTTTATTATTTAAAATCACAATGTTACTGTTTTTTATTTAAATTAATTATATCAAATTTCATTATTTGCAACTGTTCTTGTGTTAATTATTTAAAGCATTTTTCTGTTACATGATTTGAGATATATTGTTTTAAATACAACATAAAACAAATGTTCGAGAAAAAATGAGTCTTCACAATTTCAACATCAGGCTGATTCAATATGGTTTCCCCATATTGAAACCAACAAAAACTATTATAAATGAAGCAAAATTTTACCGCACTCTCTAGACAACGTAATTTGTTCAGCATTCAAAAGAGGGCTAATTGTTCGAGTAAAAAAAACGGCCTACTGATTTTTAAATATTTGATATCTTAAAAAAATGTGAAGAATAAAATTATCAATAAAAAAAATTAGATTCTATAAAACTCCAGATTAAAATAATATATGTTTAATTATATGATTTACAACTCCTACCCTTGTCCAACCTTTGTTCGTATAACAAAAATTTCAATTGTTGTAATAATTAACTTGACAATATGCCACTAATATTTCGCTATTAGCTTTCTTCGTAATAAAAGTAAAAAACTAAACAAGAAGATTTTCATGATGATTAAACTCGTATTAAGAAATACTTCTAGCATTACATCTACTATTTTAAAAATGTACTTAAGTCTAAGCTTAAAATTTAATCCATTTTCAAAAACTGTTAAAAAATATAAAATTACTTTTAAAAGCTGTTATTTTTGTTGTACAATTTATTATAACTCAACGATTATAAATAGTAAGATAATGATAAATACAAAAATTTTATTCCTACCTTGTTGGTCAATGGATGGCTTAGGGATAATGTGATGTTAACTTAACAAGTACTCCCTATGCATTCCGCTACTAATATTTATTCCATCTGAACTGAAATCACGTGGGATGAACTCCTTCTCTCATTGGTGCATTTTACGAAAACTTTTCGTCGCAAACCGAGCTGAATTAAAAGGATTTGAGTAGGTGAGAGGTTTAACGTTGTTTTCATGAATTGAAATAGTTTAAACCATTTCTATCAAATAATATATTGTTATAGAAAACAATATATTTTCAAAATTAGTCCTTGTTTAAGTATTATATGTTACATTAATAAAACAAATAATTTACGCGTTCACTTCAAAGCTGTTGAGTTTTTTTTATTTTTAGAAACTTAAATTTATCTAAACATGTAGGGTTAAAAAGCAAACAAGATGAACTAATTTTTCCATACTTGAGTATTTTCTTACGATATTACTCTAATTTATTTTTTATTGATTTTCGTCTCAATTAAATACTCATGGACAATGTGACTTTTTTGACAAAAAAATGTTCTTTAAGAAAATGTCATGGTGTAGGTTGAGCAGGCTGAAAAAAGCTTAGCAATTTGTATTAAAAGCTTGGTAATTTGGTTATTTTTAATTTGGTTCTGGATTGCGACACATTTTTTTTTAAATTTCCCGGGTGGTTGACAAATAATTGGTTTAGAGCCCTTTTGCTGCTGGACTAGCCGTGGGAGTTTTTCGTGGTTATCCTCTCCATGTAAAGTATATCTGGGATAACTCCTTAAAAAAGTCATTCGCGACAATAAGTTTCCCCCCTCCCTGGTTGATCAAGAAGTTCCCTTAAACAAGACTACGGTGAAGATTGATAGTGACTTTGATTTATTCGGCTGTCCGCGGCTGTTTACGGACGTTTTTTTTAATTTTTTTTTATCACAAGTTAATTTTCAGCCCGTAATGTGCACGTAATTTAATTATAATTTTTAGAAGGATTCTGAAAATATACATGAAATACTCTGACTACAGAACTATATATTTCTTCTTTTATTTTTCTGCAGATAGAAGTTCACCAAAGGCAATTAAATGAAACATTACTAACTGTACGGAACACGCAAGAGAGTTTTGAATTTTTCGAAAATAAATGTTTCGTTTTTCAGGAGTCAAGGTTTAAAATAATAATTTAAAGTGATCTTTCGAGTATTTTCGAAATTTTAAAAAATTTAAGAGAAGGTTGCTATTACAGGGTCATTTTTAGGAGGGGGGGGGGACAAATGGTTTCAAAGTCAAATTTGGCAATTTTAATATTTTCAGCATGTTAACGAAATTGTTACTGGCCTTACTGTACATATTTAGGCACTGCTGATCGAATTAGTAAATGCTAAGCAAACACTGGAAAATAGAAAAAAAGGATCATTGGTCATATAAAAGAAATCTGTCGTCTGCATTGAGCCTGTAGCTATTTATTTTTGAATTCAATATCTTAATACTACAAGTTGGTTAAACATTTAAAACTATTACGAGGCTGTCACGTAAATATGAAATGTTGATTTAAAACAAACACAGACCACAGAATATACATTAAAGCACATTATGATGCACAGTGTTCATCTAGATGGAATAATTAGATATTTATCTAATTATAGATTTAATTACCCCCAGCTAAGTTTTAAATAAATCAAATACAACGGCTCTTAATTGTAAAACTCGAAAAAACTGATGGATATTGGCTTCCATATGACTTTCACGGCTGTATCTCAATTCCATTCATAGCAGTTTAAGCTGGTTTATTGAATGCAAGCAGTGGGTGTGTAATATGTCGTTACTTTGGTTATCCTGATGATCCTTTTTTTTAATTTTGTTTCATAAACGGCGAGGAATAGCTGACCCAATTCTGAGTCTGTAGCCTTGTAATTTTGAACCAAACTCATAAGACAAGGGAACTCCTGGATAACTTTGGGACAAACTGGCCTTCATGGGGGATTTCTAGGTGGCATACTAGCCCGCATATGCGTTACATGGAGAGAAAAACCACAAAAACTCCCCATGGTTGTCCCGACAGCAAGGGGATTCTAACCCATGATACGTCTATTATACGGATATTTTCCGTCAGCACTGTGGTCTATGCGAACCGGAATCAGAATTTGAATCTGGCAGCTTCTTCTGGGATTTGAACCTGAGTTACCTCACTGAAAAGCGTGCGCTCTATCTCCTGAGCCACAGTGGCTCAATCTGGTGACTTTGGTTTGATTATTACGGCTGCATGACGCTGATTTAACGCAGTTTTAAATAATGTGAGTAAAAACTAAAATATTATTAGCATAACTCTATGTTATTGAGATCTTAGTAGAAAAGTGGAAAAGTCCTGTTTTTTTTTGCGCAGGAAATTCGTTTTGAACTTCTTGCACAAGAAAAAGGAAAAACTAGAAATTCTTTTATAATTAAAAAATATTTTAATTATGTAATATTCCCCTTTGTTAGCCTAACTGCCAATTGCTTAAAATTATTAATTTCCTTTGGCTTGGGAGCAAAAATAAACTTCCATAAATTTGAAACAGAAATATATTTCACTACTAAAATATTTTAATTTAATACATTTATTATCATTATTACACTTATTTATTTATTGTTTTACCTATTTATATTTTTAGCTTCAATTCAACGATTTTTGGAAGTATGTGTTTGAAATAAATGTCTCATATAATTTTTTTTATTTAATTTAATTTTTTTAAAGTTTTATTTCACAAAGCACTAAGTTTAACCGGTCTTTTTTATGTTCCCATATAGCCAGAAACACGGAAAATTTTACTATATTCCCGTAGATTTGACCATAATTTTATTCAGTGTATGAAAAAGTAGGAACTGCATATTCTTTTACAATTCAAAAATATTTTTATTATGTAATAGGCCGCTTTGTTGGCTTAATGGTCGGTAAAAAGTCGGTTAAATAAAATTATTTAAATATTTTCTAATTTAATTAATTTTTTTCTTAAGTTTAAAATAGAAATATTTTTCACTATAAAAATATTTAAATTTAATATATTTATTATCATTATTACATATATTTCTTATTTAATTATTTTCTATTTATATTTTTTAGCTACGTATTTACGCGATTTTCGGGAGTTTGTGTTACAAATAAATGTCGAATTTCTTTAAAAATTTTTACATCTGTTATCAGCTTTTATTTAGAATTTTTTTTATTGCAATGAAACATTCATTTTTTAGAAATATCTATCTGATGTTTTTGATGCTTACACACTTTATATTTCTTGTGTATGTTTAAACACAATGATTAAAAATTCGTAGAAAACATTTCGCTTAAAAAGAAATAGATGTGCAGGAGGAAAAACGACACAAATTCATTTTAACTGTCACATTGTAGGATATTTCGATGATTACATGATTTATATTTAAAAGAAAAATACCGATCAATAATACTGAACAAATGACTTGGTTATTGATTCTCGATGCTGTCGTCTTTCTATTTAAAACTATTTGGTAGATGACATAGTAAATGATTACTCTTGAATAGGAATATTTAATTTTTCTTAAATAAGGTGATATCTTTATCGGAAAAAGGACTCGATATAGCATATTTTCCACCCACAACATCAATGTTCTTTATTTTCGGACTCTCTAGATTCGTAAAAATAGAAACACTTGTCTGCAAAAGTAAAAAAAGCATCATTTATCCATTTTTTTAAAAAACTATTTAGAAAGTGGTTTTGTCGCATCAGTGAGACAGCAACAAGTGTTTTAACGTAGCTTGTAAAAAGTAAAAAATTTTCATTGATTTGGTTCCATGAAGAGTTTCTATTATAACTAAGACTTTGATTATAAATTCTGGAACTCATAAATGCGGTAATTCATATTTAAATTCTTATTTAATACTTTTGAAAGTGACTACCATTATGTATTTTTGTACATAGCTCTCTTTTGGAATGATTTGTAACTTTGATTTTTAGGCTTCCTTGATAACTTCTACTTCTTCAAATTTTGTCACTTTAACAAGACATATAGTTTCTATTTTCTTACACGAAGGTTACTCTGAAATTTTGAGACACGTGCTGACGAAAAGTAGCAACAAAAAAAAAGTTTAATTTGAAAGCGTAAATGATTTTAGCATTGCAGACGACTTTTTGTTGACTTATCAAGTCGTTTAACGTGGACCGAAAAGAAAATAGATCAGACATGAGAACATTACTGTGTTATTATTATCGATGATTTAAAGTGGGATTAAATCAAGAAGAACGTATGAACGGCTACGATAAGCATTTGGAAATAAAATACTATCTCGGGCTACTGTATTCAGATGGTTTAGAGAAACGATCGCCGAGGGCGCAATTTTCTTCATGATGAAGAACACACAAGAAGGCAGACGTCAACACCAATGTCAATAACACGTCTGTCATACGGAAAATAAAGGATGAATAAAGGATGATAAAAGGAAATGATGAATAAAGGATGATAATCGCTGTACCGGTCAAATGATACAGAAGAAACTTAACATTGAATCCTCAGCCATACATAAAATTATTATGAAGAATTACGATTAAAAAAAATTGTTTCCCATCGGGTTTCCCATAATCTAACTACGCATCAAAAAAGGCGTGTATCACAATTAGAAAAGAAACCCTTCAATTGCCAAATGATGAAAGTTGCAGCATCACAGCTAAAATTTCAAGATACATACCATCTTTTGACGTTCCAATACGTCAAGAAAGCAAATTATAGGTCCTTGAAGATAATCCCACATCGACAATAATTAAAGGTCAACGAGCAATGAGTAATCTACACCGTTTTTTAGAAGTACAGAACTGGTCAAATCCATCAAGTTGGAAAGACAGAAGACAGTAACAGTAAACTGGTACACCACTAAACGTCTTTCAGAAATTCTCCAAAAAGTGAAGGTTATAGGACTTATTCTTTACCATGACAATGCATTTTCCTATTAATCAAGTTTAACAGTTGAGTTTCCTGAACAACACATCAAAGTAATAGAAAATTCACCTTATTCGCTGGATCTAGCTATGTGTGACTTTTGACTATTTTTTAATCTTAAAAAGCACTTACGGGGAGGCCGTTTTCACTCCGAAGA